TAAAAATAATATTTCTTGCTCATTCTTGAAACTACGTGACGTTGATAGCTACTGGTACCGGTTCTGTGCTCGTATCAGGTGGTATCAGAGTCACAGTTCAATACAGTGGTTATAATAGGAACAAAGTTTCTATCGAGTTTGATATTTGAGGATTATGATTTATACAAACAGAATTAGAGACCGAGATTGGGATTTGGAAAAGAAGAAGATAAAGATAGAGAATTATCTAGGCCTTAGAAGAATTGAGAGGATAGAGAGATTACGATTTGGAAGACTTTTCTTATTCTTCTTCTCATTGATTTGAATGACTAACCCAAATACATATTTATGGGAAAATAGCTAGAACCCTAATAATAAACCTAATTCTTTTAAAAGACTACTAACCATAAGAATAATCCTAATAATGGTAACAACAACAACAACAACAACAATAATAATAATAATAATAATAATAATAATAATAATAATAATAATAATAGAAACATAAGGTTTCTATCATCCCCTTGAGACCAACATTGCCCACAAGATTGACTGACTTGACCCATTTCTTCCAACCTTCCTGCCCAATTCGATCGTTGCTTCTACAATTTTTGGGCTCCCTTTTCTTCCAATTATGCTCCATCTCCGACCTAAGACTCCTTGCTCTGATTATCTTATTATGAGCCAAAAATATAAATTTCATTCCCATGGATCCAATCATTCCTTCCTTTTGTTCAACCTCATCCTTGATTGGACATTGTTCTAATCCAATAAGCATGTCTTCTAATTCTTTGAACTCATATCAACGTGGCCTAATTCGAGACCCAAGTAGCCTATCTCTCCAATGAAACCTATTGTACCATTCTATCGACCCGGAGCACCGCCCTTGCTCAACCCATTTTGTTCCCAGCTCTAGGCTGACGAGTTTCTTCTCATGAGCCATCTTGTGGTCCGTAATTGGCCGGCTTTTCTCAACAATTGGGTTTGGCCTAACACCATCCAAAAATCCCTTTTGAGAAAGCCCATTTTAGGTCCAATAATTGGTCCAAGAGAAACCCATGCCTCCCTCTTCATCAGCCCACCCAATTGATCGGATCGACTTACATCATTTTTCTAATTTGGCTTGCTAACCCTCAGTTCCTCGGGTCCAAAACCTGGCCCTTTCCATCAGTGAGTTCGGACTACCACATCCAAGTAGTGATGGCAATTTCAACTCAACCTGCGAGTATTACCCTACCTGACGCACGATGGGGCGGGTATTACTCGACCCGCAGTAGCGTGGGGTGAAGCATGGTTATCTACTTTCGACCCGACCCGCCCTGCCTCATTCTAGACTCATTTTATCTCAATTTCTTTAAGCATCTATACATATTTCTCCTATTTTGCCTTTTCTTCAACTAGTTAGAGTCGATCTTTCAACTTGTTAGACTAAATTACCCATTCTATTATCACTATTTTCATTCTTAAAGTGTTTTTTCCTTCGTTTTATCGTAAAAAGTAAAATTTACCTGTATTTTTTTCGAATAACATGTAAGAGTGGGTCGACCCACCCCGCCCAGTAGTAGCGTGGGGCGGGGCAAGGGAATTGAGGTACCCGTCCCGCCCTGCCCCATTGCCATCACTACATCCAAGACCAACGAGGATTGACGCTGTATTGGCCATCCCGGAGAATACGAGGGTTCGCGTGCGGGAGAGATGAGACCACCGTCTTCCTCCTTCATCGATGGCGGCTCTCCTTTCGCTTCTGTGTCTGGAAACGATCCCTCCAATAGTGACCAGCCCATCCGATGGAGGTAAGGTAAGCCCATTTACACGCCACTCGCCTCCGACTCCAACTCCTACTTTGTCATTTCGGTGACTAACGCCCCCACTGGATATGTAGTCCTTGGCATGCCCAGAACGGCCGCGCGAATCCCTTGATCCGTCTTCCTTTTAGGCATCAAGTAGTTCCGCCGGCGGCAAGGAGGATTTGAGCCAGATTCTCCTCCTTGGTGATTCCTTCCAGAACCGTCACCTCGCCTCCGCGCCGGAACCCTCGTTGACCGGAATCTCCTCATCCGCCTCGTCATCGCTGCAGAAATGGCATCATTTGGTCGTGTCTTGGGTCCCGTACTCGTTCGAACGGCTGCAAGAGCGCCCGTCGAGCCGCCAACCGCCGTCGTCTTCTCTAGTCAGATGGCTTCTAGTGTCGCTCCAACTGGTCCAACAGTTCCTTAACGGTGAGTCGTGATGTACTCATCAAGGCTCTGATACAAAATGATAGGAACAAAGTTCCTATCAGGTTTGATATTTGGGGATTAGGAAGATTTTTCTTATTATTCTTCTTATTGATCTGAATGAATAACTCAAATACATATTTATAGGAAAATATATAGAAAACCTAATAATAAACCTAATTTTACTAACCATAAGAATAATCCTAATAATGGTAACTATAATAATAGAAACGAAAGGTTTCTATCAGGCGAGATCGCAGGTGAGGTGACCTATTTCTTCTCGTACGAGGTCCAAAGACCCCATTGTAGAACACAGAGAAGAGGAAGAATCGCTATCTGAAGAAGAAACCTTAATCGAAGAACAAGCCATGAGAGAACAGAGTCTTGCAGAAGCTATGCAATGCTTATCGCGCATATGGGAGCCTTGCTTGAGACCCAGCATGACGTCACCAAAGGTCAGTTGGTTGAGACTAATAAGTGCCTAGATATCCTAATCACCAGGTTGGAGATGCAACCAATGGCTAAACCACTAGAGAATCTAGTGGTTGTAGCAACTTAAACTGGAGTTGAGAACTGAGAGGGTACAAGAGCATATCGAGTTTACCTTTTCCTGAGATCCTAGATTGGCAGATGTAGAGGCGTCAAAAAATGGGGCATCGTTGTCAGGTAGTCACTCAGTACATACCTCTGTTTAATGACTTTGAGGATGATTACCATAATCATGGTGGAAGACCACTAGAACGAGGAGGCTATATATGGCGGTGATCCGATTCGAGGGATTAAACTCTCAATCCCGTCATTTCAAGGATCCAGTAGTGCTTCGGCTTACCTCGAATGGGAGAGGAAGATGATTTCATTCTTTCAATGAAATCTTTACCTAGAGCATCAGAAAGTTCTGGTAGCTACCTATGAGTTTATAGATTATGTAGCAGTTCGGTGGGAACAAGGTCAGCTTTGATGAAGAAGAAATCTGCAGCATGTTGTCTCTACTTGGGAAGAATTCAGAAGTTTGATGCGTGATCGTTTTGTGCCTCCGTTATATCATAGAGAGCTTCATGATTCCCTCCAAGGAATTTTAAAAAGAGCATGATCGGTTGATGAATATTCCAAGGAGCAGGATCTGCTCTTGATGAGAGCAGATGTGAGGGAGGAAAAGTAAGCAACGATTTCTTCGTTTCCTACATGGGCTCAATAGAAAGATCAAGCAAGAAATCGAGCCTCGTCAATTCGTGGAGTTGGAGAATGTGGTGCATTTGGCTATGAAGGTAGAGAGGCAGTTGAAGGTGAGGTCGGGAAGAAGGTACCCACCTTCGCCCAAACATGTTACAGAGAGCATTCCTTAGGCTAATATGAATTACCTAGGCAAGAAGGTGACAAGCCAGCTGCTAGGAACACGACCCCCCATCGTCCATACAAGAAATTAATGATCCACTAAAAGAATCTAATGCCTCAAGTGCTTGGGACGAGATCGCAAGGCAAACTAGTGCCCAAGAAGGCTCTAGTCTTACGAGATGGAGAATACTTTTCCGAGAAGGAGTATAAAGAGAAGCCCATGGGGAAGAGAATCGACTCTGATTCTGATGATGATGTTGATGAGCACATTCACGGCTGAAAAACCTCCATAAGGTAACTTGATGAGCATATAACGGTTGGAAAACCTCCATCAAGTAAACTTCTTGGAGTAAATCGTATAGCTTTATCTATTGAAGCTTATACAAAGACAAAGCAGAGGGATAATATTTTCCACTCTCGTTGCTTGGTTGACGAGAAAGTGTTATCGGTGGTTATCGATGGTGGTAGTTACACCGATGTAGTTAATCTGAATGCAATCAAGAAGTTGGGATTGAGCACCATCAAACATCCTCAACCCTACAATCTGTATTGGTTGAACAACTATGGAGCTATCAATGTCAACAAGAAGGCCAAGGTTTTTGTTTCCAGATTGATGAGTATGCGAATGAAATTTGGTGTGATGTTGCTCCAATGCAAGCTGCTCATATCTTATTGGAACGTCCATGACAATATGATCGAGAGGTTATTCATTATGGGAGATCTAGTCCAAAAGAACCCCCAGTCATGAAGGTTGAGTTCCCCGACCAGTGATCTGAAGATGGTTTACGGGGATCGGGACGCTGACGAGTTCAAGTTACCTTTTCAGTTTAGAATTTCGTTCCTTTTCTATGTATTTGGTTATTGTATTTTCCCGGGAATATATAAAGGGGTTGTAAACACGATTTTTAGTTAGTTTTTGAACCCTATTGATTTATTCCTATTCTTTGAGCTTTAGGCTTGAGAATTTTCTGCTTATCTTATAGAAACAAGGCTCTTTCGGATTTGATATTTGGGGATTAGGATTTATACGAACAGAATTATGGATTGAGATTAGGAGAGGAAGAACAGAATAAAGAATCGGTTGAAGCCTTGGATTAGGGAAGAAGAGAAATTAGGAGATAGAGAGAGCTTAGGGTTTGGGAAGATAATTCTTTTATAGATTTCTCCTTATCCGAACAAAAGACCCAAATTACATATTTATAGCTAAAGACCGGAAAACCTAATAGACTATCTTAATATGACTCAAACACTTAATAATAAAAACACTCATAATAATAATAGTAATTATAGAAACCGTAATTATCAATCAAGTTTCCCCCTTGATTATAGACGAGCTTCTATCCTTTTCTATTGTTAGAGCCTTTTTTCATATTGTGTTGAGATTGCACTTTCAATTCCATTCTATCCCAACAAAACCCTTAAAAATCCTTTTTCTTGCTCGTTCTTAAAGCTGCTTGACGTTGATAACTACAGGTACCGGTTTCGTGCTCGTATCTGGGTTGTTCTTCCAATCGGTAACCTTGGTGTTCAATTCTCCTATAAGCTCTAGGGTAGCACCATATGGAGATGGTTGATACTCTCATATTTTTGGAAGCCATAGGGTTCCATGTTTCAAATCTACAAACACACTAAAACATAAAAGACGAAGATCAAATAAATACAAACCATGCTTTGAGGTGAAGAGTGGTGCAACTTACACTAATGAGAAACACAAAGTAACTACACAAGAACACAATGACAAATACCACACTCATACAAACACAAGGCTAAACTAATAGCTCTAAACCTTTCACAATCACCTAAATACTTCTCGACAATGGCGCCAAAAACTTGATAGCATTGAAGCTCAACTCATGTTATAAAACTAGGCTTGTCAACAATATTAATTACTCTAATTTATGACAAGTACACCCTACATTGGTGAAGTAGTAGAGTGGTGACTAACGACTAAGGTCATATTCCACGGGGCCTTCAAGTCTACTACTTCTATTGGCTTCAAGCTACTATTTAATCAACAAGATGGAAGATTTGAACGTGAATTAAACTAAACTAACATGAAAAGAAAAGAAAAAAAGACTAACTGCTAGGGTGATCAATAGAGGGAAGATGTTGTTTAGGGTCGAATCCCTTTAGACTAGCTTTAGTGACACTTTAGTAAGGTTCAAGAATTTCATTTGGTCCAATTTATCCAAAAATTGGGGCCAAATTTGGCCCAGAAACGGACAAAAAGTCCAAACTTGCGCGGGCCCACAGAGTGAGGAGAGGCAGAAGCGCCCCATGTGTTGCGCCCCTACTTTTTGCCCGTTGGAAAAATAAATAAATAAAACAAATTTACTTTTCAGCGCCTATACTCTCCTCCAACGGCTCTTTCATCTCCAACAGCTAGTTGTTTTTGCCAAATTTCTCTATAACTACTACCAATTCATTCACTTCTACTTCATCTCTTCCATTTTTTTCTCCCAATTCTCTCCAATTGTGGTACTCATCTTCTTCTCATAGAAAAAAAATCTCTTCCTCCCAACGCCTGGTTATGTCTCAAAGCAATCGCCCACCAAATTGGAAGGAGGAAGAAGATAGAGTTTTGTGCAAAGCATGGATTGAAATTTCGGAGGATGGTTCTGTCGGCAATTATCAAACTGGGCCTGAGTTGTGGAGGCGAATTGGGGTAGTATTTGCCGAGAATACCACCGAAATTTCACGTCCTGACGGGGGCCTGCAAAATCGATGGAAGACCATAATCATGTTTTGTGGTGCACGGAATGCAGCATCGAAGAGAGCAAGTGCGACACCAATGAGTGGAGAAAACCTCAACGATGTGGTGAGTCAATTTAAATTAAGGATTATTATGCAATTAATTTTTTACTTGATTTGCTTGTTCATATTAGTTAAAAATACTTTGTTAAAATTGGTTAGGTTGAACGAGCTAAAAATATTACAAGGCAAATATCGGAAAGCCTTTCCATTTGCAGCATTGTTGGGAGATTTGTCAACATTTTCCAAAGTTTCTTCAGAAATTTACTACTCCCGTGCTACCCATTCCACCAATGGATGGATTTTCATCAGGCTTCTCATCCGGCGACAGTGATAGCCCCGACGTTCAAGCTACTCCTTTTGTGATCAACCGTCCCGAAGGCCGTGATAAGCAAAAGAAGAAGAACAGAGGAACTCCATATTCTTCCTCTGAAAGTTGGGAGAAGAATATGGCCAATATGGTGGATAATTCGAACACACACACGAGGCTAGCACTCGCTCGAGAGGAACGTGGAATTCAAAGAGAAGCAAGGGAGAAGAACACACATGATATGATGGTAATGAATAAGGATCTTTCTCAAATGAGTCCTCAATCTCGTGCTTGGTATCAGAGTAAAAAAGATAACATTGTAGCTTCTTACCAAAATGATCTCGATATGTAATCTTTATGTAGTTTTGTGGTATGTTTGATGTACGCTTTTCGTTGTAATTTTCATGTAGTAGATTTATGTTTAATGTATGCTTTTCGTTGTAATTTTCATGTAGTAGATTTATGTTTGATGTACGCTTTTCTTCAATTGCTAATGCACGTACCTTTTTTCCGTCTTATTAAGAGGAGATACATCAAGATAACAAGGAAATACATTAAGATAACATAGAAAATACATTAGGATAACATAGGAATACATCAAGCCAACATAGAAAATACATTAGAAAAACATAGGAAATAGATCAAGAAAATATAGAAAATACATTAGGAAAACATAGGAAATACATCAAGATAACATAGAAAATGCATTAGGAGAACACTTTCTTTATTTCAACACACTTGTCGACTACTGTCCTCCATGTATGGTCCACAAATTTCTATCAAATCGTTCCTCAATGCGTGATGTCCATGTCGATCACGAATCATGTTATGCCTAGCCATGTACTCCATGAGAGTAGGAATTTTATGTTCAGGTGGCTCCCATGTGACATTTGGATTACTCTCATTCGCATACTCAATGTTCACCTCTTCCCCATCCCCATACTCGAACCGTTGGTCTTCCACTATCATATTATGCATAATAATACAAGTTAACATGATATTGCCAAGTGTTTTCACATCCCAAAGACGGCTAGGGCCCCTGACAATGGCCCATCTTTATTGAAGTATGCCAAAGGCCCTCTCAACATCCTTCCGGTAATCCTCTTGACACCTTGCAAACAACTTCTTTTTCTGGTTACTTGGATTGCTGATAGTCTTCAGAAATGTAGCCCACTCATGATAAATTTTGTCAGCCATGTAATAACATTGATCGTACATTTTACCATTTACCTCATAAATGACCTTGGGAACCAATCCTTGAACTACATGATCGAATAATGGGGACACTCCCAGAGTGTTGATGTCGTTGTTCGATCCGGGCGTTCCAAAGAAGGCATGCCAAATCCATGTGTCGTATGATGCCACAGCTTCGAGGACAATGGTTTGGTTTCTTCTTGTGCACAGTGAATTGGCCTGCCCACCCAGTTGGATAGTTCTTCCACTCCCAGTGCATGCAGTCGATATAACCAATCATGCCCGAACATTCACGTTGTGCAGCATGATGAAGGAGGCGACGAGTATCATCTACAGTTGGTGCACGCAAGTATTGAGCACTGTAAATGTTTGTGATAGCCAAGCAGAATTTCCTCAGACACAACAATATGGTGCTCTCAGCCATTCTACAGGAGTCATCCAAAGAGTCTACCGAGCATCCATAGGAAAGCATGCGAAACACAGCAGTAAGCTTCTGATGTGGGGAGAATGAGTCACGACCTGCATCATCTGTCCCTTGCTTTAAGTAGTCATCATATTTAACAACATCGTTCATGACTCGGTTGAATAAGGCAGGGGGCATCCGATATCTCCTTGTGAAGGCAGGCATTGTAGGTTGGATTTGAGGTGAAGTAGTCTTGCATCAAGCGCCTCTGACCGTCTTCCTTGTTATGTCTCACTGTTTTTCATGTTGATGAACTGCCACGAGATCCACTTGCTTGATGTTGGTGAGGATGGTTTGCATAAATAATGAATATCTCCATGCGATCACGCTCAATTTGACACTCATACTACCATTTCCTATTATCAGCTTCTCTTTGCCTCTCATCAGCTTCTATTTCAATCTCATAATCTTCTCTATTAGGGGAATCCATTAAGTCGAAATAGTTTTGGGTGGCTAGAGGAGAATGGAGAATTAAGGGGTTTTTTTCTAGGAAAGAAGGTTGAATGGTGAATGAGTTCCAAGACTAACTTTGTTGATTCATTTATAGAAATCCAAAATGATTCCATCTGCACCAATGTTTAAAGTTGAATGAACAGTTGATGAAAATTCATTATGATTAAAGCTGTATAAACAGTTGATGTCACAATTCAGTATGATTAAAGCTGAATGCATAGTTGATGGCACCATTCATTATGATTAAAGTTGATTGAATAGTTGATAGCACAACTCATTCTGACAATCATGTGATGAATCAATGACTATCTGAACCAATAATGTTGTTTTCGTCATTGCTTACGTCATATATACAAAAAAAAAATTGTCGGAGTTCAAAAAACTTCATCGAAATGTTTGTCTTAATTAATTATTAGTACCTATATAAAAATAATGAATACCTTTTGTAATTAGAATGATAAAATGTACACAAAACTGGATTATGAGTTAAAGCGCAAATCTGGAAATTTGGACTTTTGGAACTCACTACTAATGTCAAAACACCTTTTGAGGAGTTAGAATTTGAATTATAACCCCAAAATTTGGACTTTTGGAATTTGCCACTAAAGATGGTCTTAGGAATAGGTTGAGATTGATTTAATATAAGTTAATGAAGATTTTCCTATTTTCTACTCATCTGATTTTGTTATTGTAAATTGCATTTGTGGAGTTAGGTGCGTGTTTGGAAACTCTTGAATTGATAAAAAAAAATATTGGGGTTTGGAAGTAGTACGAACGAGATTCAGTGTATACTTTTTTTTCCTTAAATCTGTAACACGATGGTCACAGAACTATCAACTTTATAACTCAAATGTAAAAGAAAAAAGTTTACCTTGAAACTAATGGGCAAGAACAAAAATCATTTTGTAGAAAAATGGTTAGGCATTAGTAAAGATTTTTGGACATAATACTGTAATATCAATAAGTACGGGTGGGTTGATTTGGATAAGTTGGTTAGTTTGGATGTTGATGTGAAACTTTGTATTCATATATTAAATGATGGGGTAAATTGTAAGTTTGTTCACTGAAGTTACTATAAAAGTTAATGTTTGCCAGTAAAATTAATTTATTACATCAGTAGTCACTTAAATTAGTTTAACAGTTCAAATTTAATCACTGGTTGTTAGTCTCCGTTATCTTTATCCTATGTGGCGGTCAACACTCATAGTTGACCGTTAAATAAGTGATGTGGCAATTAAAAAACTAATTAAAAATAAAATTTAATAATATTAAATTTCCACCTCATTAAGCCCTAACCCTTCAAAAATAAAATAAAAATATAAAGCTACTTTATTTAAAACAATTAATCCCTCGCAACCGTTGCAAGCAGAAACTAGTGCCCAGAAGAAGAGTGCTCTCCCGGAGTGCCGATCTGGCCGAAGACTACAGAATCACCAGCGACAACGTTCTCCACTTGGTCCTTAAGCTCTCCGACCTCAACCTCATTACTGTCCGCACCACCTGTGGCCAGGAAATCGAGTTCCTCGTCGACCGGTACCGAAACGTTATATCTCTAAAACACCACATCTTCCAAGAGGGAAAAGGCTTCCCAAGTCAACGAGCATGAGATCTTCTACAACGGTCAAAGGCTCAATGACCAGCGCCTCATCAACGAGATTCGCGACACCAGAGGCGCAGACGCTGCCGCGATCCACCTCCTCGTCCAGAAAACCGCCAAGGTTAGAGCCCAACCGTTGGACAGATTTCAAGATCTCCGTTGCCACCGCAACAAACCGAAATCAAAGTCAGAATCAAAATCAAATTCAGAACCAGATGCTGAATCAGAATCATGAGTCGATGATTGAGATTCTATGTCAGAAGCAAGCAGGAGGGATCTACCTTAACACTCTGTTTTTTAATTAATTCACTCTCGTGAGGGGCAAAGGTACGTCGACGAGGATGGGAGAATATTGGATTGGGGTTGAAGAAGATTGTGGTTTGGTCATTATAATAATTTTACTAATTTTTTCATTGCCCGCGCTCTGCGCCGGGATGGGTGGAACAATTAAGTTATTGTATTTTGATCTTCCATGCTCGATGCTATTGAGGTTCTATGCTACGATGATTGATAGTCGTTCATGTTGACATAGTACGTACATTGGGAATTCATACTGATCCCACAAAAGTTACAAAATTTGTGATATATCATCCACTGATGGATTACACAGTGCTTGGCTTCCTAAAACCGCAAAATATCCTAGGGGATCACTAAATAAGTTGGTGGAGAAGCATAGCAGCTTATACATAGAAGTGCATCAAGGCCTAAACAGTTTGAAATTGTCTAGGAGATAGCAAATTCTGGTAGATGGGGAAGTTGTTCACGATAGGTTACATAAAGATAGAGTAGTTAAACTCGTCACTACAGAAATAGATGTCACAGTAGCAATAAAACAAGAGAACCTAAGCCTATTCTTCTTTTCATTCATTCTAGTGTCTACTTACCTCTCTCCCTTCGTTCAACTATCCAGTGTTAACATGCTAAACAAATATCCCCTACAGAAACCACTTGTGCTATTATTGCACAAGATACCGTAAAAGAGACCACTAAATCTATTATTGGATACCCAATTATAATCATTTCGTTTTCTTTAGGAACAAAAAATACCAAGAATAATGAGGAGAGGATTTTATATTACCTCCTTGATTACCCCGCTACCATATTCACTTCCCTATAAACATGAGTGATCTGGAGTTGCCAGTCTCTGTGTAACCATCTTTGAACCTCAACAACACTCAAATAGAGATGCTCTGAGTGGCTGTGACGAGTTTGACAAAATTTTGGATGAAAATGGACAAAATTGAACGAGTTGGATTTTTGTAACTCTTCTGAAAGAAATCCAAAGGTAGGTGACCATTTTGACAATGAGAAGAATGCTCCACAAGTCTCTCCATTGTTGTTACACCTGTTGTTAGTGACCAGTAGTGGATCGTTGCTGTCCTCCTTTATTTGCTCTTACTGTTACTTGATTTCTGCTCCACAATTACCTTCCATTGTATTATAAAATCTGAACATCAATAATAGAAACCTCACGCTGTGAGATCCTTTATGGTATCAGAGCCCAAAATTCTCTAACGAGTCAAACCTATTTTCTTTCTTCTTCTTCTTTCATCTCCTGATTCTTCTTTCTTCTGCAAAATGGCTACTGAATCATCCTCTGTTTCATCCACCTCTGGCGCTGCTGGTTCCAATTCCCTACCAATGTCTTCCTTGTCTCTTCCGGCCAATCCACAGCTGTCTGTCAAGGTCACACCGACAAACTACCTTCTGTGGCATGCTCAGATTACTCCTCTCCTCCGCTGTCATCCATTGATGGGTCACGTTGATGGCTCTCTTCCTGCTCCCCCACAGCTCGTCGATGACAGCCCCAACCCCGCTTACTGGCAAGGGTATGACGGCGATCAATATGCCCTTACCTGGATCAATCTCTCCCTCTCTTAAGCGGTGCTGCCAAATGTTATCAACAAGGCCACGGCTTATGAAGCGTGGTCGGCGTTAGCCCGGATCTACACCTCCGGATCGAAATATCAAATTCGGCATCTCACCAAATCTCTGCAACATCTTCGTTGGGGCACCGCCACTATTCATGATTATCTTCAGGACTCTAAGGCCACCGTCGATCAATTGGCAGCTCTAGGTTCTCAGATTTCCAACGATCATCTTACCGGCTGGATCCTTGATGGATTGGGGAAAGATTATCGCCCATTGTGAGGCACATCGAGGCGGGTATGGAGCCCATAAGCTTCGAAGACCTCCACTCTCTCCTGCTTAGTGAAGAGCTTCAGATTCAACGATATTCCTCGCACACTGAATCTTCTGCGTCGACCGCCTTCTTCTCCAACACTGGTGGCTCTCATAGACGAGGCGGCCGAGGCCGTGGTTGGGGCTCCTCCCGCGGCGGCCGTTTTATGACTAATCATTTTGTGTCTTCTAACAGGTCCAATCCCACTAATGGCGTTCTTGGGCCTCGGTCCACTGGTGTGATGGTTGTTTGTCACAACTGCGGCGAGAGAGGACATATTAAACCTAATTGCCCAAGTCCCTTCCTCCCCTCCACTCTCTCGGCCCAATCTGCCTCCTATGCTGGGTCGGCCTACCATTATGGCTCTCACTCCCCCTTCCCAAGCCCACATACCCATTTTGCCTCTTCCTCGGCCCAAGCTTTCAACCCACAGCAATGGTTATTGGATTATGGTACAAATCATCACTTGACGTCTGATTTAGACAATCTTGCCCATCATTTTGAATATAATGAAACTGATCAGGTCACGTTTGGCAATGGTAACTCTCTTCCTATTTCCCATTCTGGTGCTTCTAAAACTTCTTTATCCAATTTTTCTATTTCCTTGGATAACATTATGTGTGTTCGTAATACTCCTTTCAATCTTCTTTCCATTAGCTCTCTTACTCGTACTAATCCGATCTCCATCGAATCTTTTGACACTCTTTTTGTCATCAAGGACCGACTCACGGGGAATGAGCTCTACCGCGGTTATGCAGTCAATGTCCTTTATGCACTTCCTCTTCAAATTTCTCGTCGGCTGTCTCCGCTTGCTTGCGTGGCTGCCTTGCATGTTTGGCATCAACGTCTCGGTCACGCCAACGAACATGCAGTCAAGCAGACTCTTAATCATCATAAAATAAAATTTCTTCCCACTTCCCCTTCCTTATGTCATAGTTGTGCAGTTAGTAAGATTCACAAACTGTCCTTTTCTTCATCAACATTTTGTGCTTCTGCTCCTCTTGAACTGGTTTGTAGTGATGTTTGGGGCCTTGCTCCTACTCTTTCTTATGATGGCCAATCCTACTATATTCTTTTCTATGATCATTATAGCAAGTTTCCATGGATCTACTTCATTCGTTACAAGTCTCAATTGCTCAATGTTTTTAAAAAATTTCGCCAATTGGTTGAAAGTATTTTGGTACACCCATCAAAACTTTCCATACGGATTGGGGTGGTGAGTATCAAGCGTTATCCACGTATTTATGAGATAATGGTATTGCTCATCGCTCTTCTTGTCCTTATACCCTTGAACAAAATCGGTGTGCTGAACCCAAGCATCGTCACATTGTGAATAACGGTCTTGCCCTTCTTCACGCTCAGGTTCCTGATAGACCATTGATTGTACATGTTTTTACCCCTATTCTTGAGCCGTTTGAGATGTTGATTCTCGTGTTTTAAGCCGATTTCATGCTAGGTTGTGCGTTTATGTCATATTTCAGGGCTTGGTGTTGACATCGAGCCGAAGAAATGAGGTTCGGGTCGAAAGAAGCACGTTTGAGTTGAAGTGTGCTGGAAGGGCAAAATACCCGGCTATGAGCAAAAATACCCGGCCGGGTATTAATCGGAGCAGACCGGGGAAAAGGACTTTTGGGCGTCTGAGAAGCAGAGGGGGGCCCGGTCGTGAAGCTTAAATCCCCGGTCAGGTATTCTTGACCTAGACCGGGGATTAACCCCCTGCCCCACACGGTGCGTTTTGAGAATCCCCGGCCTCCACCTGAAATACCCGACCGGGTATTCAGGCCGGGGATCGCGACAAACAGCTTCTTAAGGGAAAAGAAGGGCAAAAGTGAAGGGTTCCTAGTTTTAGAGAGAAAAAGCGTATACCTAGAGAGAGAAAGTGACTCGATAGAGCAGCCAATGGACATCTCCCAAAAGTTAAGTATACTGTTAATGGTCATACTTACAATTAATGTTATTACGTAGCTAACGCGATTTATCCTGAATGAGCTACATTTGTGAAGACTATTACTGCCCCCAATAACCAGAAAAAGAGGTTGTTTGCAAAATGCCAAGAGGCATACCGCAAAGATATTGAGAGAGCCTTTGGCAAACTGCAAGAAAGATGGGCCATTGTCAGAGGATCAAGTCGTGTGTGGGATGTGCAGACAATGGGAGAAATTATGGTAACATGTATTATTCTGTACAACATGACAGTGGAAGACCAATGGAACAATGGGAAAGAGGCACTGGCTATGATGGGTCAATATAATACTAATTCAGATTTCACAGATCCACTGAATCATGATATGCCGACACTATTGTCTTACATGGCAAGTCATGGCAGAATTCATGATCGTAAAGGACATCACTCATCGAGACATGATTTGGTTGAGCATCTGTGGGCAAAAGAAGGAGGAGGGGAGTAGGAATATGTTGTGTTTGAAGTTTAATTAATGTGCTTTAATGTCCCTTTATGTTGTGTTTCAAATTTAGTTTTTATCCATTGAGTATTTTGATAATTGTATATTCTTGTCTTTTGAGTACCTTGTTCAATGCTCTAATAAATAAAGTAGTTCGATTAATAATTTCAAAATACACACTAAAATGAAGCATACATCAAACCATTGATTCAAAGTACTTAAAAATAAACATTCAACAATAAACCATGCTTAAAATAAAAACTGAACCATAAAGAATAAATAAACCCAAATACCGTCAAGTGTCATGGAATGGGGCTATATGAGTCGTCTCCTAGGCTTGAAGTTGGATACTCTTGGTAGGAGGCCATAATGTCATCATTTTGCCTTGGGTACCATGCTCTATTTTGAGCGCTCATTAGAGATAA